TGTGGACTTTTATCCTTACATTTTCAAAATTTGGAGATGGCCTTTGATGGAATGTGCAAAGCTCAAAGTGGTCAGCTTGGCAGTATTTCGTCTTGTATGTAATGCCAACTATGCCATACATGTTGACTTTCTGCACAAAGATTGTTCACTGGTTTACATCAAGTAAATGTACTGATGCAGTGCCATTTAGGTTGTGCAGCAATTCAGTTAAAGGTGTTATTTGAGGTTGACATAATAATTTCAGATATGTTACCTGAGAAAACAGAATGAAAACTATTGACTGCGACGAACAATTCTATCCCAAATACAGACAGCATCTACAGTGTGCGCCAAAGAAATGACAAATTGTATTTTTTTAAAGCACACGTTCAAAATACTGTAACTTTCCAATTAGAGGTATAACACAACAGATTTAATTACTGTTATCAAATTCAAATCACATTCCCTAGAACTTGAAAAGAAATATTTAATTATGTCCAATATCGAATGAAATGTGACAAGACCACATCAACTAGAGTAAAAGATATCACACCCACCCCTCACAGACTGAGATATCACACCCACCCCTCACAGACTGTGGCTGAGCGCTGGCGCCTTTTCACCTTTATGTTTATTCATGCAGATGTAATATTGCATGTTTATCATTAGGAAGGAAGTGTTTCTTTTACCACATTTCCGTCAGTTCTAACAAATGTACATCCTTGGGTGGGAGTCATCAAATATTCATGACCTGTTCTCTCCCCCTATCAAAATGACTATTAATTTGTTTGCTTGAGAGCATACAGCAGAGTTGTGTATTTCCTCACGTAATTGAACGTCTAGTGAAGAACTAATGAATAACTACGCAATTTTTCAAGATGTACAAAGATTCTAATAATAGTCATCATTAAAAGTCATCCTAGAATTAATTATGCAGGCAACATTTACTACTCGATAATAATCCCTTGCAAAACATCAGTGAATTTCTATAAATACTAATGTGATGCTTTTACACTGAGCTACAATGACAGTAGCACTAGTCTAAGTGGTAGTTTGGCTAGATTTAAATCACAGATTTAAAACTGATACGAGAGACTGCCAGACTACGTTCAAACGCATTTTATAATAATCGCCTGCCATTACAAGAATATATCGACCTTGGAAATCAAACCTGTTACTGTTGTTATAAATTATGATGAATGCATCAGGCAGTCGTATTAAATGGTGATTTACATGACAAAAGATGTCAATTTAGTAGAGTATTTACGTCAT